TTGTTGCTTGAAGCCATCTTGATTTTGCGTTCGAAAAACATTTGCAGATGTAGTGAAGAAGTGCCTTTCCTGCAGTGAACACTCTTTTCTCTGTGCTACTTTCTTGTTTTCTTCACAGTCATTTTTCTGTTTTTTCAGGGGCAAACAGCATTTAGCACTGAGCATTAACATAATGTTTTCTAAAAGCACTTTCCATGATTGAAGACACCGCTGCTGGATTCCTCACAGTCCTGCTTGGTAGCCTTGTAACAAGCTAAAAAAATTAAAAAGTAGGGTAATAGAGAAATCTGCAAACTGACATAATTCCCCACGTTAATAAATATTTCAAGTCATCCCACTAATGCTGCAATTTTCTAAGAATACCCAAAATCTTTCATTAATGACCTCTGCTAATGCCTTTTCCTAGCCACAGTCATTCCTCTCAGTCACACTAATAGCAACACAACAGACAGGACAGTAATGGCATTCCGGGGGCTGCAGCCACCTCAGCCCTGCTGAGGCCTTGCACCGGGTAGAGTGGGCTGGAGGAAGCCAGGCCGTTCCCCTTATGATGGCCAGGGGGTTGCCGTCAGCTGGGGATGCCTCTGCTGGGGCCAGTCAGCAAAGGAGGGGTGCCCATGAGAACTGGGATGATCCAAAGAAGGGGAAAGGTAGGGCAGCCCATGAGCTGCTCTGAATTATGTGGGGGACTGAGGTCACCCGTGGCCACTTCAGCAACCAGGAAACTTTGTCCCCACATTAGTTGCTGCACTCAGGATCATGGTCCAACATTTTTACCATAGTATTTACCTTTGATGTTAGTTTTTCTACAGCAACATCTCCTAAGAGTACAAGGAACTAGGAGCAAATGTCATCTGCATAACAAAGTAAAGAAGCATCCAGATTTTGGTAACTATCACTCATTCATAATTTCAATCTCTATATACAAATAAATGAATTCTGAACTCTTCCCAGAAACATTTCTCATGCATTTTTCTGGTATCTGTTGAAAATGTAGGTATGCTTCTACCCCCATGGAGGCCACTGAGGTGTGAAAACTATCATCTGACATTAATTTGGAGGAAAACGCTGCTGCTCTGTCAGACACTCTGGGACACGTTCATGTGGACCAGAGGGGAAGTAAAAGGCTGAGGGCTGCAACAGCACCCTGAATAGGTCCGTGCCTGTCACTGAGTCTGGCAGAGGGCCCTTTGGGAGGGCCTTTTACTCTTTAGGAGCTTACTCTGCCACCAGCACAGAACTCACTGACTCACTGCTGAGCCCAGCGTTCTCTGAACACAACTCACCAACTTTTCTTTTGGAAGTGCCTTACCTGTTTTTCAATAGCAAACTTGCCAGGGGAGACTTTGGGGTCACCACTAACATCAGGACTAATAGCTCCGCCAACAAACACGCATACTGTCAGCCATTCCCCAAACTACCGTTTCCCTAAGAGGTGCTCTCAATTAGATTGTGTGCTGTATTGCCCATGTGTGGCCATCACAGGGGGGCGCTGGTTCTTTGCTGTGCTTGAGCTGATACCAAGCATTAAGTCATACTAGGTCAGCAGACTGATGGGGCACAACAGTACTCTCCAAATCCTTGCAGCAGAAATGTCTAACCTGCAGAAATGTCTAAGTTGCCTGTGTGTGCAGAAGACAAACATGACACTGCTCCTAACGTTTTCCAGCACTATCTTGGTCATGCAGGAAATTATTGACAAACAGCTCCAGATTATGCAATTACAAACGCACCTAGTGTGCTTCTTGTGCTGCAATGCCTTTCATCTATTCACCATATCAGTATCTTTTCAGACAGATACCAAACAGTTGTTGTAGGTGTGTTTTTTCAAAGAGGCTGCTGGTGTGAACATCTTTTCTTGGTTCTCCAAAAGAAAACCCATAGATTTGTAGCTCAGCATGATTGGTTTCTTTCCCCAATTTACAGTACTAAAAATAGCTCAGAAACAAGGAACTGAAAAAAACCTAGTAAACTGAGTTTTTCCTCCACGTTCTCCTTAAATATGCAGAGTTAAGGGAAAAACTGAAGGAGCAAAGTTTAGTCAAAAGTAATGCAATATGATGGGTGCTTTTGACAGAGATGTCAGATATGCCTAACATCAAGCCAAGGTGAAACCAGCTTTGCCTCTGTGCTGCATCTTGAGGGAGGAAGAGATTTCAAATCTTAAGCTGACTGAAGGACGTCCTTTTTCTCTTACTCTATACTGAACAACTTTGGTGCTTTAACACATATTTTGGGTATAGACGAAACAGTGGCCAACTGCGGTAAATGATAAAAGCCATTAAGGGTGAGCAATCAGAAACGCAGAGCCCACTGTCTTTATTAGCATATGATTCCGAACAGTGGGCCACATCTGCAGCTGATAAAATTAATTTCATTGTAACCCAAGGACAACATTGGTCTGTTTGCTTATAGGATATGGACAACACTCCCACACATTCTTGAGCAAGGCACTAGAGAGTATCACAGACTACCACTTCCACTGTGGCTTTGACTTAATACTTTACAGTATACAACATGTGTATGTCTCAGGAGATCAACAAAAAAGTCAATACAGGAAAAGTTCTGGTTGGTGAGTTTCAAATGTTCCACTTTCAGACACATAATCTGACAAAAATGCTACCTGTAAAACCCAATGAAATGCTAAATGAAAGTAATTTTTTTTCTTGATTTTGAGATCAAAACCAGTAATTAATTGTTTTTCTTTCAATACTGCCCTTGATGAAGATTATGTTACCTTGCAGCAGCCTTAATCTGGAGTTTTTATAAAACTATTGCATTCCCTCCACTGGGTGAACTCTAAATGTTTAATAAATGTTCATAAACTAACCTCAGCACTTACCCAAGGAACAGAAAAATCATGCTGCTTTTCCAGTTTTACAAACAAGGGTGGGATCCTGGATGTGCCAGAGTCAATGGAAAGACCAGCTCTGGTTGTGATTCCTGATTGACTCCCTCCCCTCCAGAGGCCGTGTTCCTTACCATTCGTCTTCCATCAGGCTGCTGTGAACCCAGGGGTATTTTGCATCAGAAGAAGGAATCACCTTCACATCTAGCATTTCACAGAGCACTGTGAGTGATCAGTACAAATTTGGATCAGCCTAAAGACATAAACAAATAGCTCTTCGCAAATAGGAATGTTTCCACAGAAAACTACTGGTATTTTTGAAAAGCTGATCTAATTCTCCTCCAAGCAGATTTAGTGCTATAGCTCTTAAAAGACATATTTGGACTCAACCAAGTACAAAAAAGCAAGTTCTTTTCTATCCGCTGCTGAGTAATTAATGTGTCTAGTTTCTAAACTGATTTCTCTTAAATTATATATAGCCAAAAGACTCTGGTGGCCAAAGAATTTCTGTTTAAGCCTAAAAACAAAAAGTCAAGTTGGGCTGAGACTAAGAAATCAGATTTCAAAACACCCCAAAATTAGTTGATCAAAATTGCGCTTGCTTGAATTAAAGAAGAAAAATAACTTTTCTAACATATAATGGAGTTCCTTGGAGAGGCTTTTATCAGTCAAAATTTATGCATTTATGAAAGGGGCTATGTGGAAGTAAACTCTCCTAAAGAGTTCTCAGGCCAAATTTACTCTTGGTCAAAGATGATACAACTCTTTTGTGTCAAAGAGTTACAGTGGATGACACCTGTGATGCATTTGGCTCTTTGAATGAAGCTTTGGACCATCAAGGTAATTTTCAGCAAGCTGGTTTCCTATGGAATAATGCTGATTCATTCAAGCTAAAACCATTTGCAGGAAAGTGGCAGTTCTGAAAATTTTTTACCATCAAAACTTTTCAGAAGTGATTAAAATAAGTTTCAACATAATTAATATTCTAATTTCAGCATATTTCCATTGTGTTTAGCAGGTTGCCCTATGTTGAAACACAAGCCATGGTTTGAATTAGATAATTGTGAAAATTGGGTGGAAATATTTCAAAGATTTTGAAACAAAAAATATGACACCAAATAAGTTTATTTCTTAATTTACTCAAAAAACCCTTCCAGAATCCCAGGATTTCAGTTCTTGGTCTATAGAAAAATTAAATTTTTTATTTGATTTGTTTTTCCTAAGAAAAGTTTGGGTGAATAAGCCAGAAACATCAGTTTCAGAACACTGACTAATATATTCATTTGTATCTTTTTTTTTTTTCCCAAAAGAGCCTGATTAAGTTGTGAAAGAAACCACTGTCTTATAGTTCAACACCATAAGGAAATTACAGATGGTGAATCAAGCCCATGAGAATGTCTTTAACAGAAGGAAATGGGCCTGTAGCTTAAAAAAACAGAGTAAAGGTCTAAGAATTCCAGTGGGAATTCTATAGGATGTTCTCAACCCTCCAGCAAAAATTAGCACCATGGAAATTTCTGCAGTTGAAAGCTTCAAGACCAGTCTCAAGTTCTACTATTAAATATTAGCATTTGTGGTCATACTGTGTAGTACCTCCAACAGACTTCACACTGACTAAACAAGACCCATTAGTAACAAGCTATTTTTTGTGTTGACATCTTGGCAATTATTAGATCAGTTTGTGTCATTCAGCCATCTTCTGTTCCGAGGTAGCATGAGGTCATTTCTGCCCCCTCACGCACATTGGCACATTAAACCCGCTAAGAACTAGTTATCGTAGTTTGCATCTGTCTTCTAGAAGCAGAAGGTGGCCTGGAGCGTGTTCTTCCATCGTTGTTTGTTGGTTTATCATCTCTTGGTCCTGAGAACACTAGCTTTAAAATACAGACACATATATGACAGTCAGATACATGTTCCTGCTATGGCCCACAAGGCAGTATTCTCTTGTCTTAAAAACTAATTCTAGTCACAACTGAGCAACTCCACTAGCATTACAGAGGTAAGAAAGGCATAACCAAGACTAAATTAATCTCCATTTGTAATTGCCCTTTTCACCCATGTGCCTTATGCTACTGTATTTTGTATATTTGTATATTTGCATTCTCAGCATCTTTAACAAACAATGCCTGCATTCAACTGTTTGCCTTGTTAGAAACTGCAAGATGGCACTCAGACAGAACCTGCCTCATCCTGAAGGACCTTGATCCCACCCCAGTATCCTGTTAAGCAATCGGCGAGCTCCTACCTGGGTTTCAGTATGATCGGATGTGATCCTTCCACGGTGGCCTCGTGCCAAGGCTCGATGTGTTTTCCTGAGAGTACAGGTAATTCCCCATCTCCCTGGACTGTCCTCAGCAAGATGATGATCAATGCTTGCACACTGACAATGCAGTGACAAAATGGCCTCTCAACTCCCTCACTCTCCGTTCCGTAATTTGTTACTGTCCTTGTCTGTTTAGCGATGCATTTTATAGTGGAAGCTGATTCATTCGGGCTTAATAACGCAGCCAAGCTGTTTTCTGGCATGATCCCAGCATAATCACTGTAATTCCTTCTGTTTCCAATATAGGTCAAGTTATGCCTGATTCAATAAAATACCATTTTTAAGTAAGCATCAATCATCTTAGGGTGTATTAGTCTGTTTCATTTTGGTAATTGGTCTCTATCATTTTTGTTTGCTTTTTCTAATTTTCCTTGCTCCTTAATTCTCTAATCACATGATGGATTATTAAAAAGCTGAATCCCTGTTAAATAAGGTGACCATATACAGAAACTTCTTTGCCGTTCAATTTCCATTCTTTCGGGCTTCAGCATTCACGCTATCTTTGAGTTGAGCAAAGAAGTGAGTAGTTTTAATTTTCAATTATAGGCATAGAAAATACAAGGAAAGAAAGGGTCTAGTTGTAGTCAAATCTGAAATTGAATAGAAGTGGAAGTCATTTTAAAAATAACTGAACTAACTGAGAAGGTTTAGGGGGTCCAGGGACTGGAAATCTGATATCTTCTTTTATGGCGTATGAAGACTTTTGGAACGCAGAAAACGTCACTGGTGTTGAAGAGGGAGAGAGACAACTGTAGGTGCATGGGATTATACTTCTCGTTATTATTAGATGTGCCTGAGCCCAGACTTCAAAATGACAGACATACAAGTCAAAGAAATCAGTAATCAACAAATTAAAAAGAAATACTAACAGCTTGCTTTATTATAAGTGGCCTCAACCTAAAAGAGTCCTCTCTGCCACATGCAGAAGCTCCTCAGCAGATGAGGGTCCTGAATGTAAACACATTCAGAGGAAGCAGTTTTTCAGAAGGTTCCCAACATCCATGGAAAGGATGCGTGATAAAAATTGGCCAAAATTTCATTTTCTTTTGGAATGTAGTACAAAGATGTAGAAAGAGGTTGTATTTTCTATCAAAATGAAATTGAATTAAAATAATAAAAACTCAAATTCAAAATTTAAATGAATTTAAATGTTAAATACTTTAATTCTACTGAAACGCTTCAATAGGGTTAAAACATTTTAAAATATAAATATATTTAGTACATGTACTGATAAATATAACATTCTATGTAGCATAGTATTAATATATTAATATGAGTCAAAATTAGGTGAATGAAAACAATGCAACCTGAATTAATATCAAGGCAAGACAAAACCAAGCTATTTATGACTGTTGCTTGTTGAACATGTGAAAGAAATCGGCATATTTCTGTGAAATTTTTAGGGGGAAAGCACATTTTTACAGAAAATGTGTATACAGATGTTTTTTCAAATAGTTTAGCTTATACAATGCAAACAAGTTAATACTTAAAATAATCATGAGTTATTATTATATATTATTTATTCTTACTGGTATGCCTGGTGCTCTTGCAGCTCCCTAGACCCAGAAGAAAGGGTAGTACCTTCCCAGGAGAGCAGCTGGAAGATTTTAATCCATGACAACCTTCCTACTCTTTCCAATAACTTAAATGTAGAGCAGAGGTCTCCCTCCTTCTTGTGTTCTTCAGAGAAACAACGACACATCCTGCCTGTTTTAAAAGTCTCAAACCAAATTACCTTTAAGGGGTGTGTGAAAAAAGAAGAAAAATGAACCCGATGGTCACTTTGCAGCTAAAACTTCACACTCTTGAAAAGGCTGGATGAGCTGCAGCTGTGGGACCAAGGCAGTCTGAGTGGCACCAAGCCCACCACAAACACAGGTGGAGAAACTTAGATTAGGCAGTCTTTTATATATGTATATGCATAGGCATATATAGGACATTGATATTTATGCTTGGGGATGCAGACTGATGGTGGTTGGGAGAATATTCTCAGTTGGCCAGTCGCTCCATCATTATGTCTTCCGCCTGCCTCTCATCCTGGGCACCATCTCTGGTTGGGTGGACCCCCAATGAGGGGGGAGCGTGCGTGCATGGGGAGCTCCGAGCCGTGAGCAGTGTGCTCCGCAGGACACTGGCACTGCTGCTCAGCCTGCTTTTCACTGCAATACTTGGCAGGAAGGGAGGGATCCTCACTGTGCCCATCACAGGGCACTGCAGGGCCATGGTCTGGGCTGAGCCATGGAAGTGCTGCATACAACTGGATGGTGTTGGTGAACATCACGTACCTGAGATTGGCTAAACGGAGTACTGGATCCTGCCTAGTAGCAAGCTGAGTTGCTGCTCTTATTCCATGGTATCAAAAATACGGCTGCGTGGCTGGTTGTAGCTTCACCTTGAGCGGCACAGCAAGGCAAGGCGAGAGTGCCTGTGACCAGACCAGCAAGCAGGGGGAAAGCCGAAATGATTGGGGGGGTGGTGAAAGGAGCACCCGATCCTGTGGCCATACACTACACTACTGGCATAATTGTGCCCACTGAGAGCAGGGTGGCTGCTCAGTACAGAGGCATTTTAGCCAAGTGCTGGCTGGCTCTCAGCATCTTTTCTTCAGATCAGCAGAAGGGAGAGAGCTGCTCCAGGTGAGCTGGGGGTCTCCAGGGCACTGCTGCTCCCCAAAGCCATGTGCTCGGCTGAGGGAGGGGAGCGCAGTTCGGCAGGACTGCTTCCTGGGGATCAGTGAAACCTTACAGACCTGTGAACCAAAGTGTACAGTAGAGGAGTGTATGCTACCCTGGCTGGGAGAGAGCAAGCAGGGGCTGGCACCTCATGTCCTCTTCCCTCTGTCCGCTTTCTCCTCCCTTTACAAGCCAAGGCTGTTTAGAGACATCTTACATGAAAGGATCAGAGTCCTTCTCCCCAGCCCTTGGAATATCTAGGGCATTAGAAAGAGTTGTCAAGCACAATCACTCTCCTGAGCCACCACTTTTTTCCCATGTGTCTCTGTATCAGAAAAATAACTCAGTCTGTCCATACAGCTAGCAAGCCTGAGGATTGGAGCAATTCCTCCCTTCCCATGCTCCTCATACAGCTCCTGCCTGCCTGCCCTGCACTTCTATCAACAGCTAAAGAGGAAGGGCATGGGGTGGCAGTGAGGGGAACAAGAAGGAGTGGGAACAGAGCAAAGAAGTCATGCAAAGAAGTGGGGGTGGATATTTCTGAGCATTAATGATCTGACCCAGCTCCTGCACGAAACTCCTCATTCCATGTTTTCTGTCCTTATTTACGGATATTTCTGACAGTTAGGAAAGGAAACAAAGGGTAGATGGTGATATAGGACAAGTGTAGGGCCTTAAATTCTTACTTCTTCACAAAGAGAAAGGAGAATACGCTTTTTCTTTAGGACAGGATGTGTAAAATCTCTGGGAGTGGTTGTTTCGGCCCAAAGACAGTGTAGTAAATGCAGGCTGCCTCAGCTCAGCAGCTTGTTTGAGTCTCTCCTGCTCTAAGACAGTTCTTGCTATTTTTTTGGTTAAAACTTATCAGGTTAAGAAGGGGACGCCTGTTTCTAGAGTGGATCACCTCTTCCTCTTTGTGTAGAGCAAGGAGACTAAGGTAGGACAAGGCCTGCGTTATGCAGCTGTCTCTGTGCTTGATCCTGTCCCTCTGAGCACACGGACACTTGGACAAAGTGTCTGTAGCTTTTCCTCTGAGTTGCAAACTTCGCCCCTTTGGCTTGGCTGTTGGGCAGCAGGCTGCCAGCATCACGGGGCTGGTGCAGCGTGGAGGCTGCCTGGGAGCCTCCGGCAGCCATTCTCCAGGACTCGTGCCAGATGAGAAACCGTAGGTAGCATTTGCAATCCCAGGGACCCATCGGGTAGCAATTGTAATCCCAGGGCAGACTGCTTCTCTGACTCTGCTCTACACTGCCCAGATTGTTATTCTCACCATGCTTTGATACACTGATCCTTCTGTTCAGCCAAATAAGCCTAATGAGACTCCGGGTTCAGAGGCCAGAAACAATTGTGTTAATTTCTACACCATCTCCTGGGATCACTGCTCAAAGTTTCTGCAGAATTCATCCCATCCCCTAAAATCCAAAAAGGCTGTCCACAGCATATTCATCATTGAAACAAAATGGATGAGAAAAATATTTTAAATTAATGAATTGTTAGACTGTCACAGATTATTCACCCTGGTTTAATTCCATTTACGTCAGTGACTAACATTAATGATCATTTGGCCCATACCTTTTGGATCTGTGAGGTAAATAGCTATTAAATTCCATGCATGAAGTCAGAGCTGTCAGTGTGCCAAATAAAACTAATATAATTCTTGTCTGATTTCACATTTTTTCCTGGGTTGGTCTAGAAGAGACTTTTGCCACACTGAAGAGCAATTCAAGATGATATGATTTCTTACACTGATTAAGTCTTTGACATGACTTCTTGAGAGATCTACTCTTTTGGAGATAATAGCTGTTTTATGTAAGTGTGCTGTGATTTCTAAGTGCATCCATGTGGAAAAAAAAAAGGCAAATTCATCTCTATCAGGGACAGCAACTAGGGTTGTGAATTCCTGAAGCAGCAACCACTGGCTTTTAGTTAACTTAGAGGATGACTGAAATTAGAATATGAGAAGAAGTTGCTGTGGAAGAGGTTATTTAAAAGTAGTCAAGGCATGATTCAAATAACAAATGAAGTGGAAACAACTGTCTTGAGGAAAAGAAAACCTTGAACTTCAGACTTTCCCTAGCATTTTAGTTTATGCACTCCAATTCATGGAGGCTCAAGAGACTTCATAATTTCTCCAGAGTCTCTGCTTGTCTAGTGGAGCTTCAGTAAGTGGCAACAGCTTCTTGTTCTGGGCACTGAGTCTGACCCCAGGCACCAGAGGAGATGGAGGCAGATTTTCTCTGCTGTTTCACTGACATTC